CAATCCTTTTGAAAATGTTTTTTCCCCCTCAAACAATTTTAAAGGGTGTTGACTTAAACCCCCAAAATCCCCCCGCCAGGGTGGCGGGGTGGGGGAATTCTGGGAGTTGAAGTCCACACATCTTAAAGTTGTCAAGGTTGAGAAACACTGATCTAAAGGATTTGCAACCCTTCCTGGTTTTGTGCCATCTGCAAATTTAATAAATGATCCCCTTCATCTGGTTTAGGAATGCAGAGGCTGAAGACCCCAGAGCCTGAGATAGGCTCTGCAGTGCTCAGTCCCCCACACTTATGTGGAGCCCCAAGAACTCTCTAGGCACACCCTTTCCACCGTTTAGTTCATTCTTTCCCTGCTGAATTCTTTCGGCTGTTGAAAAACATCTCGAACCGCGAGCTGGAAGTGGGACCTTTTCGCCTTTATGCTTCTAGTCCTCTGATGGGCTTTGTGATACTTCAGCCACTGCTTCGCTGGGCTAAATATTTGGGAATCTCTTCCTTTTCACCTGCTCACATCTGAAGCACTCCAAGAGCATGGCGGGGAGACAAGCCGCCACCCTGGGGCTTTACGCTCGACTGGGAAGTCAAACACGCTGAGGGGAGGCCGGGAACACGCCCTGTTGCCAAGCACAAGTCGGTGAAGTCACCAGAGCCAAGGTCAACTCAAAGGAGACTTGGCCTGCCTTATCTGGCAGCGTAATGGGATGGGCCCCTCCATCTCCCCCGCGTTCCCTTCCCCTCTTCTCTGGGACGCTGGGAAGGAACAGCCCCCACAGTCCCAAGGGACGGGTGTCTCCCTGCCAATTCCTCCTCTTTTTCACGGCCGTAAGATGCCAACAACGTAGGAAGGCAAATAGAGTTTTTAATGGTCCCAGCACACCGTGACTGGCACGGGCACATTTGTGTTTCCGGTGCCCAAACTCTTCCTCCCTCCTGCTATGGCGCAGGTGGTTTCCCAACCCTTGGCTCCCCCTAAGACCTTGGGGGAGAGAGTGATGTTGAATTTCTCTCCCCCCCCTTGTGACTGATGGCAGGGAGACGGCCACTTTCATTCGATCAACACCGGGGACGGGGCTAGAATCCGCCCAAGGCGACCCGGCTCTTCAACGGCAGCGGGAAGGGAGGTCCGCATTCTCTTTCGACTCTCTTTGGCAGCGTTGGCCAGACGTGTCCCAGCAGCCTCTCGGCCACTCCCGAGGACCTAGACGGGGCTCCGTTGGCCCCCCTCTGGCTGCAGCGTTTGGGGCTTCTCTGCCGCTCCCACCCCAGGTCCCGTGCGAAGGATGTACAGCCCGAAGAAGCAATACGACAGCCCCCTGACCGGCTATGGCCCCCCTGGGGAGGACTACGGGTATGCCGTCCACTCACCGCCCCCGGGCTCCTACTACATAGAGGATGAGCCCCAGCATTTCTACAAGTGGACCTCTCCCCCCAGCGTGGTGAGGATCCTGGAGGGCGTGGGCATCCTGCTCTGTGTGGCCATCTTCGCCTGCGTGGCGTCCACCCTTGTCTGGGACTATGGCTATGGGGGGCTCTACGGCAACTCCATGGGGGGCTACTATGGGGGGGGCTACGGCAGCGGCCTGGGCGGCTACTACGGCGGCTATGGCATGGGCGGCTACTACGGAGGCATGACCAACCCCCGCTCGGCCAACGGCTTCATGATTGCCATGTCGGTGCTGTGCCTCATCGCCCTGCTGGCCCTGGCCATCACCAGCCTCACCAAGTCCCGGGGGGCCCGATCCAGGAGGTTCTACTTGGTGGCCATCATCGTCTGCGCCATCTTGGCCTTCCTCATGTTGATCGCCTCCATTGTCTACATCATGGGGGTCAATCCTCAGGCCCAGATGTCGGGCAGCTACTACAACACCAACCCCATGCTCGCCATGTGCAACCAGGTGTACACCTCGGGAGCCTACTTCAACCAGTACCTCTACCATTACTGCATTGTGGACCCACAGGAGGTGAGTGTGGGGGCCTTGCCTTGGGGTGGGGCAGCCCCACACGGGGCAAGATGGGGTGGCCTCCCTGGTCCTTGTTGTGGTCCTGCGCCCAGCTGGGCCACGGCTGGTGGGCAGGGAAGCAGCCGTGGCCAGGCTGGAGAGAGACTCAGGGAAGCCCTCTCCGCTCCGCTGGGCCCCAGCCGTGGGCAGGGTCTGCCCCCTGGCCCTCCCGCCCGGCTTCCGGAGTTGCACCAGCTATGTCTGGCTGAGCCGACCCAGCAACCGGACAGTCCTGCCAGGGACAGGGCCCCCTTGAACCTCAGGCAGGGCTGTCCAGCTCCATGTGAGGCTCGGGTTTCCAAACCCTTTGGTAGGGATGGGCACCAAGGGGGGACGTCAGGACATCCCAGCTGCCTGCCACGGCTTTTCACCACTTCTCTCTTTATCACTCGCTTTCCCTGAAATGCCAGCATCAGAAACTGTCACACGGGTGAAAGCAAATATGAGGAACGCTTTGTTCAAGAGCGAAAGGGCTTATCTGGGGAATCGGTTTCGGGTTTGGCAGAAAACAACCCGGGAACGTTATCGGCTGGGTCGGGCGGTGGCACCCTCGAAACTGCTAGTTGAGCAAACAAGATAAGTCCACCATCAAGCCCAGCTGTGTTACTGGCCTGGGGATGGGGCTGCTGGGCTCGTGAGTCACCTTGGTGGATGTACATAATTGGAGGGCTGCTGCTGCCTGAAGACCCTTCGCAGGATCGTAGAGCTGGGACAGGGAGGGGCATCAGAGGTTGTCTAGTCCACCCCCCCTTAGCTGCAGGAGTTGCTGAAGCCCTTCAGACAGATGACAGTCCGGCCGCTGGTGGGAGACACAAGGGGGAACATAGTCTTTGCACAACGTATTGTCAGTGAGCCCACTTCAGGAGTGTTACGGGTAGTCTTCACTTAGGGACTATAATTGGCACTGGCAACTCTGTCACTAATCGCTGCAGTCACTAAGCAAGACATCATGTGATCGTGACTTGGAATTTACTGCTGGCTTCTCCATTGACTCCACTTGTTGCAAGCTGACTGGGAAGCACACAAATGGCAATCACATGACCGTGGGCTGCTGTGACGGTCATAAGTGTGAGGACCAGCTGTAAAGTTAGTTTTCCAGCATTGTCATAACTTTAAACAGTCACTAAACAGGGCAGTTGTGAAGTGAAGTCTACTTGTACTTCCTTCTGTAGCCATACCCCTCCCATATGGCCCCTCCCCATTGGCCCCACCCTGTGATCCTCCAGCCCTGCTCCTTTCCTGCTGGCAGCTCTTCCAGAGAACCCCCAAATACCTTCTAAACAGGGAAGAGAAGATTCCAGGGACCGCCTGATGTGGGCGGTTTTCACAACTTTATTTCTTCACCAACCCCCGCCCCCAATGCCAGTCTCATCAACATCCTTAAGAAATAAAAATGGCGGGCAGCAGCTGCCCAGTGCTTTCCCTCTGCTTCCCCCCTCCCCCGAGAAAGGAAAGCTGGAGTGGCTGAGAGCATCGGGGGGGGGGGGGGGGCGATGCATCCTGTTTCTTTTCTGGCTTGGCTCCGTCTACATTTCAGACTTTGCAAACCCTTTGTGGCAGCCATTTTGTGAGAGTGCTCACAACATGCTCAGATAGTTGGGGGATTCCTGCTGCAACAGCATTTCATGATTTTTAGGAGGAAAAGCAAAACAACACACCCAATTAAGGAATAGTGTTTGGCATTTGAGACTGTTCTTCTGCAACTACAGCCAAACTACAGATGGAAAAATGCAAATACAATTGTCAGATCGCTACAACCCCCGTAATAACCTGGCCCCTTTCAGGGTGTTATGTACAATTACTAAGAAGTAAAAAATACTCTCCAGGGTGTAAATCATGGAGACCAAGCTGTTCTCGTAAGCTTAGGATGTGAAAAGAGGGCACGAAGGGGTGCATACGATTTGTAGAGGCTAATTTACATACGTATGTGCAAATCTAGAAATGATTCCAAATATTTACCCCGAGGAAATCCAGTCCATTTCATCCCGGGGGGGGGGG